TACTGGAGTGGGTAGCCTTTTCCTTCTCCAGGGGATCTTCCCAACCCAGGGATCAAACCCAGGTCTCCCGCATTGCAGGCAGATTCTTTACCAACTGAGCTATCAGGGAAGCCTCAAAAAAGTGAAAGTCACTCAGTCCTGTCTGACTGTTTGCAACCCAGGCCGGAATTCTCTAGGCCAGAATACTGGAGTGGGTTGCCATTCCCTTCTTCAGGGGATCTTCCCAACCCAGGGATTGAACTTGGGTCTCCTGCACTGCAGGCGGATTCTTTACTAGCTGAGCCTGGAATCTGTTAATTTTTTTTACAGTGTTTCTAGATCTCACATTTCCTTGTTCTGTGTCTTAGTGCAACTTTTGTGTCGCTAATACTCCCAGTCCGTCTCACCACATTGCTATTTCTGAATGAATATGGAAAGGTCAGTGTCTTGCCATCTGCACATAGCTCATTTCCCCTATCACACCCTCTCATGCCCCCACACCTCCCACCTTTGTACCGTCACATGCGTATTTGCTAACACTTACTTGAATTCCCATAACACTTGCCATCTTCCTTTCTTACAAGTCTCCGGGCACCTCTTTCTTCAGCCTCCTTTGTCAGCATTATGCTCCCTCTTCCATTTGAGAGAATGAGTCATCTCACCTCCAATCTGTCTTGGCCTCGGCCCTCTGTCCTATTGAAATACACGGCCAGGCTGCACACGTGTCCCTTCTATGTTGCACACCCCAGAGAAACACTTCATTCAAATGCACATGATTTTTTTTCTGAAACCAGGCCAGTTGCTCAGTGTTCACCATGATAGGCAGATACTTGATGAAAAAAAAAAAAAAAAAAAGGAAAAAGAAAAGGAAAAAAACAATGAAAAACAATGAAAAGAGCACCCAGCCAATCAGTATAATGTCCCTTCTCTCTGTGTACAATCAGCTCCAGCTGTAGGCCCTTTATCTTGAGAGTTCAGAGGATAATGCACACATATAATTAACCCAAATAAACCCACTTTCGTGAAAAACATTTTGAAGACTTCAGCACAAAAGAGCACTTTTTGGGTCCAGATCCTGTACTATTCTGAATTTTTTAAAAGACCGCGCAGAAGCCTCATCAACAGTACTCTAATTAAACTCATCAGTTCGCAGATGTTTACAGGAAAATGCTCAGCGGAAATTTGCACCAAGAATTCCTGTTTCCTGAGAATAGAGAGATGGATGAAAACAATAGTAGTAGTAACAGGAGCTAACAATAATGAGTACTTTAATGAGCCTCCCACTTTACATCAGTCAGTATATTTAAATCAGTAACCCATTTGAGGCAGTGATTATTCTCCTACCTATTTTACAGATGTCAAAACTGAGGCTAGGTAGGTTAAATACATTTCCCAAAGTCAACTAGGTAGTATCATGACAAGTCCTGGTTTGTGTGACTCAAAAGCATGTGCTCTTAACCACTACATTCTTTTGCCAGTATCACACATCTCTCCCATGATGGAAATCAGTGTAGATTTTCCAGCACTTCATAGTCACCAAATAGAATCTGACTGAACTACTACTGTTTTAAATTACCGGCATTTCCCCCCCAGTATGCTCTTTTTACTCACTCCTCACTTCCAGCCTCTCCTCGGCTTCTGTTTTCTGCTCTAAAGATTATTTCCTGGTGGTCTGAGAGTCTGTTAATGGAGTCATTCTCAGAAAACACACTTAAAGATAACATCTTCTAGCTTGTTTCAAGGCTCAACGTAGAGATGGGAGAAGTGCAATTTAATAAGTGCTGGCCGCATCTCTTTTTCACTGATAATCTAATGAGCTGTGTGCTTTCTATATCCTGGGGAGAGAGACAGTGAGCCCTGTCAGAAACAGAGCTTCTGTGCCACTTGTAATCTAATCCAGTTGGTTTCTGGCCTTTAGGGTCTTTATCCATTGGCTTGTCATCCTCTCTGTTTATGGCAATAAATTCTTCCCCTCTTCTCTTTCTCCAATATAGATGTTTCTGGGGTACGTGGTCACAGTATTCAGAGCTGCCTTAGCAACCATCTTTTAAGATAAGACACTTCTCTACATTTTAAACCACTATATATGAGCATTATTTGTAAATATTCATTATCTAGGTACAAGTGGTAGTCCTTAAAAAAAAAGTGTTTGGTCAAACATATTAAAAGGTTTTGAAGAAGCAGATATATCAAGCAACTTTCCATTTTATTTATTTTTTACTTTGTCAGTGTATTTGGCTGACGCAACATGTTGTCATCACTGGATTCAGCAAGAACAGTAATGATTGCTCAGGCTTTTATAACACTTAGGCATTCACATCACTTCTGTATGCAAACTTAGAAAGAGATTCTGTTCTCCTAAAGGAAGAAAGAATAGATAATGTAAGTCCTAGGAACCAGCACTCAAGGGCTGTCTCGTTTTCATCTTTTCAGCAGGACTGTAATCCTACTAATAACTTCGCCATTTAGGGGCTGCGTGATCTCTCTGTTGTGGTGTTAACCTCTTCAGATATTAGTTTTTCCCAAAATAGGTCAGATTATTAATGTCTACCTCATGGAGCTATACTGGAGTGGGTAGCCATTCCCTTCTCCAGTGTATCTTCCAAACCCAGGGATCAAACCCAGGTCCCCTGCATTGCAGACAGATTCTTTACCATCTGAGCCACCAGGGGAGCCCCATGGAGCTATAACCTGGATAAATTATGTAATTTATGTCAAAATATATACATAGTATTTCCAAAATATATGACATATAGGTGTTAAATAAATGTTAGCTCTTATTGTTATTACTATCATTTTTGCTATTTCTCTGTCTAAAGGCTGCCATCATCAACTGTGTTTCCCTTGCCTGTAATCCTGCAACATTCCCACTCTGCGTGGGTCTAGTTTTCTATCCATTCATTTCATAAATAACTATGTTCTAGTAGAATGTGAGTCTTGTGGGGGTGGGGACTCTGTCCATCTGAAAGAAGCAATAGGGCTGAGTGGTTAAGAGTCTCTGGAACCAAACCATCTGGCTTTGATTTCTGCCTCTACTAGGATTAGGTCAATGACTTTGGACAAGTTTTTTTAACCTCTTGGAGACATGCTTTTCTCATCTGTAAGATGAAAATAACTATAATGGCTAGTTCATAGGCTATTGAGAGATTTGATTGTGTTAATATATATAAAACGATTTTGAACAATGCCTGACATGAAATAAGGCTTTGTAAGTGTCTGCTGTGATTATGAGTATCATTCTTATTGTTTTATCACTATATCTCTAACACATAGAACAGTGACTGACACGTAATAGGTATGTAACAAACATTTGATCAATGAATGAACAAGTGCTAGACATTGGAAGTACAAAAAGAGTTAAGAGAATGTTACTTCTCTAGAAGAACAGTGGAGACATTTACAACTTAATGGAGAGCTCAGGGTTAGCAGTCAGGTTCAGTTCCATTCTGTTCCAGGGTCCCTGACCTGGCAACACCACCAAGGATTAAGTGGCACGTGGAATTTATGCAACAACATGAAGTAAAAATAAAAAGCAATGCTACAAGGTGTTAAATGACTGAAGAGTTGATTAGATACTACAGAGAATATGTAGGAATCCAAGCTATTTTATTTATTTACGTTTATATTACATTGATTTGAATTCCACATCATTTCAGCAGAAACCAACTAAAGAATTGCTACATATAAAAAAACATAGGAGTCAAGTAAGGATAACATAGGTATTTAAAATATTGCCTCAATATTTGGAAACCATTTAAGAGAAGGTGCCTCGGAGACCCACTGTAAGCCACTGCCATGAAGGAATAATTGCTCTGGTATCACAGGCTTTTCTCTCCAATAGCGAGAAGTGGCTTTAAAGCTAATGGCAACAAGGTACTCTTGAACTTGTTCGTTTGAAAAGCTCTATGTTCCAACATTAGTGCTCTTTCCTTAGAAAACAGATCCATGTTAAATGACATTTTGATGGGAACAATTTTTAAAGTGAGGAAAGCCAAGCCTGGTGAAGCCGTGGGAAGATGGGGCTCTGATATATCTGCAGGATAAGAGGAAACTGGCTCGTGTTTCCACGGGGTACTTTGGAAATTGGTACCAGAGGCCTTGGGATTCCGTGGTGGCTCAGACAATAAAGTATCTGCCTGTAATGCAAGAGACCTGGGTTCGATCCCTGAGTTGGAAAGATACACTGGAGAAGGGCATGGCAGGCAACCCACTCCAGTATTCTTGCCTGGAGAGTCTCCATGGACAAAGGAGTCTGGTGGGCTACAGTCCATGGGGTCGCAAAGAGTCAAGACACGACTGAGCAGCTAAGCATGGACCAGAGGCTTTATCATATTCATTTAATTTGGCCCAGTGTTCATTTGTATGATTTATCCTGAAGACGTCATCAGAGTGGTGCACAAATACAGAAAACAGTTTATTGCAACACCATTTGAAATGAACTAAATGTGCTCTAGAGATTAGTTAAATCATTATGTTAGGGCACAGTGATTTTTAGGAAACAAAACTCATCTTGTTGAAATACATTCATGAGAGAGGCAAATGGTCACTTGAAGTTGAAAAGCACATTCCAAAACAATGTGTGTAATGTGGTCACAATCATTCAAAGATATATATCCATATAGGGAGGTTATGGATAATTTTTATTTTCATCTGCTGTTTTCGTTTTCTTCCATGAATGTATATTGCTTTTGTAATCACAGTCACTGTAGCATAAGAAAGACATTTGACCTCTTTGTTCCGTTTTTCACAAGAGTATTCTGATTTCCGATATAATATATTGCTTCCTCATAGGAAAAGGCAGAAACAGCCTTGTATTTTGGCATCAGCAACTGTACCTTATCTGCTTTGGCTAATGCCATTAATCCATCTGTTCTGCCAAAGTATAACATAGATACTGGACTGTAATAATTATGATTTATTCTTTGCTTAAGCTCATAATTTTGTATATCTGCTTGCCTGGATAGTTCTGGCTAATCACCTGCGTAGATTTGGCTCTCACAATGAACTTTTCCCACTTTCAGGTAAACAACTACAGTTTAGAAGAAGTAACACATGAGGAGGCGGTAGCAATATTGAAGAACACATCAGATGTAGTTTATCTAAAAGTTGGCAAACCCACCACCATTTATATGACTGATCCTTATGGTCCACCTGATATTACGCACTGTAAGTACCAGGCTTAGAGCCGTCTTTGAACAGCAGGCCAGGTTTTCAAAATTGGAAGTCTATAAAACTTGGCAAGATCTTCTGCTTACACCTTCACTCTTGTTTAGCCTGTGGAAATCCTGCAGAGGGATCTTGTACTTCAGTTGCCTTGGAGACCTCACCTGATGAGCCGGCAGGCTCACCACTGCAGAAAGGCTTCATAATGTATGTTATGGACAGTGTGATTACAACAACATAGGAGCAACACAGTTTTTTTAAACTGAAGTTTACATACATTGTTGTATTAATTTCGGCTGTGCAGCAAAATGATTCAGCTATTCATATATATATGTATACACATTTGTTTTCATATTCTTTTCCATTATGGTTTATCACAAAATATTAAATATAATTCCCTGTGCTATACAGTGGAAACTTGTTGCTTGTCCTTGTCCATTCTATATTTAATAATTTGCATCTGCTAATCCCAGACTCCCCATCTATCCTTCCCTAACCCCCACCTCCCTTTGGCAACCGCAAGTCTCTTCTCTATGTCTGTGAGTCTGTTTTTATTTCATCGATAGGTTCATATTTTCCGTTCCACATAGAAATGATATCATGTGGTATTTGTCTTTCTTTTTCTGATTTAACTTCACTTAGTATGATAATCTCCAGGTGCATCCGTGTTGCAAATGGCATTATTTCATTCTTTTTCATGGCTGAGTAGTATTCCAAGGGGCAACATTTTTTAGAAATTTTTATTGGCGTATACATTTATTGGAGCTTAATTGCAGCTTTACAGTGTTGCATTCGTTTCTGGTGCACAGCAAAGCAAATCACTGTACGTACACATACATCCACTCTTTTTCAGATTCCCTTCCCGTTTAGGTCACCACAGAGCATTGAGTAGAGTTCCCTGTGTGATACAGTAAGTTTTCACTAGAGTTCATAGGTTATTCATTTTTAAAATTTTTAAATTTACTTATTTTTTAATTGAATGATAATCGCTTAACAGAATTGTGTTGGTTCCTGCCAAACATCGACATGAATCAGCCACAGGTGTAGCTGTGTCCCCTCCCTCCCACCTCCCGCCTCCCGCCCCATGCCACCTCTCTAGGTTGTTAGAGCCCAGTTTGAATTCCCTAAGTCATATAGCAAATTCCCATTGGCTCTCTGTTTTGCATATGTTAATATAAATATCCATGTTACTCTCTCCATCCACTTCACCCTGTCCTTCCTTCCCCCCATCACCGGGTCCACAAGTCTGTTCTCTATGTCTGTGTCTCCATTGCTGCCCAGGGCCAACACATTTTTAAAGGCTATTTCTCAAGCCCCTAAAGCACAATAGCGCTCCTGCCATAATAGTCTCTCTTCCTAGTTCAAATCTATATAGTAACAGAGTGGAAAAAGAGGAGACTGGCCAAATAAACTGGGGATAGCACTGTTCTTCCTGGGGAAGAGGATCTTGCCCTCAAATGGTGAAATCATGCTCCTTCATCACCATCCTTATAGTTCTAACCTTATCAGAATTTGGTATATTGGCAAGGAAGCCAGATAAAATTTTCAGTCACTAAGACAGTGGAGAAGGGCTGGAGGTGGGGGCTTCTTGAGCAACAACTAACAATGAGACGCTATGCTCGGGCCTCACAATGTCCCTTTCTACACAAGCCCCATGGCTTCCTCTCTTCTTAATAGGCCAGCAAGAAGATTCTCTGGGGACTAGATTTAGAAGCAGTTCATTTTTCTGATGTGAGTTAAAGGGACAGTTTTGGCAGCATCAGTAAAAGTGCTCATTCTGAAATCTTGAGCAATCATTTGTAAGATTGAGAACTCAGAATGTCTTCAGGTCCTGTCATTAATTAGCACTATGCTCTTAAGCAAATCATTTAACCTCTTTTAGATATGGATGTTTCTCTTGAGGGAAATTTAAATGTTGAGTGATTTTGTTACCTGCCCATTACATTGGCTGTTGGTTTTCTTAATGATTGTAAAATGACTTGCCTCGGAATATGTCTTTTTGTCAAACAAGCAATAAGGTGAGATCAGCCTTACCTTAGGATATTAAAGAGTTTTAACTTTCAGAGTTTTTCAAGCCAAATAATGAAGAGTCAGTCTTGAGGCTCTGTGATTTTATTCTTGACAAGCATATAGAGCATTTCTTCTTTCTGTCTGAAGAAAAAAGGAGAAAACAAAATTTGCTATTCAATTCAAGAAATATATAATTTCAATATGTGCAAAATACCTTATAAGGTAATATGTGGGACCCAAAGGAGATACAGTCCTGGCCTTCATTGAAAGGAAGGTTAATTCAGGTATATAAGTAACAGCAGTATTTGACAAACTTAGAGGGATGTACACGCCATGAGAGAGGTAAAAGAAATGTGCTTTGGGCACTCAGAGGAAAAGCATATCACCTGTCTTTGGATGATCAGAAAAATCTTTATGCAGAGGGTAGCATTTGAATTGTATCTTGAAAAAATGGATTAGATTTCAGTATCAGAGATGGGAGAGGAGACAGAAGTTTTAGGTAGCTGGTAAAGTGGAGCAAAAATACAGATATTAGGAAGAACAGGCTTTATTTGGGGACCATAGGAGATATGTAAGAAGGGGATATCAAAATGAGTCAGCCTTCCAAGAATGATAAAAGAGAGAGTTTATATTCAGTACAATAGTATCTATGGAGAGTGTATAAGCAAGAGAATGTCATGATCAGACTGGCATTTCTCAATATATAAAATGGATCTGGGGAGAGAGTAGGGGCAGGAGACCCAGTTAGGAGCTTTTTAGTCACCCCAAAGGGGGATGAATTAGGGTGGAGGAACAGAAGAGAAAGGCCAGAGTTCTTAGCTTTTCTGGGATGGGAGAATAAAGTATTTAGGGATTAAAGTCTTATACAGTAACTTGCTCCAAGAGCCTTCTGCTTTTGATGGTTTGATATTAGCTATGTGAAAAGAATGTGAGCCCTGCAATTAGAAAGCTAACATTTTTATTTCAATAGAAAATGAATCATTGTTCTGAAAAATGTGAATGCGGGATCTCTCCTCCTGTTTTTCTCTTCACCTAATTATACGAACTGGGCTTACAGATAAAACTGTTATTACATCTTTCCAATCCTAAAGGTCACCATGTGCTTGTACATATTAAGAGAAAACAAACAGCAACTCCCATCTCTTGAAGGATCACAGAATTCTTAGCATGTAGCACAGCCTTTCTATTTTTAACAGGACTATAGCAGGACACATTGAATCACCCACATAACAGATTTCTTTTTTATTTTTTTTTTTCACTCCTTAGCTTATTCTCCACCGATGGAAAACCATCTTCTCTCTGGCAACAATGGCACTTTAGAATATAAAACCTCCCTGCCGCCCATCTCTCCAGGAAGGTACTCACCAATTCCAAAGCACATGCTTGTTGAAGACGATTATACCAGGTCAGATATGTTTGTTGGATAATTGGGTTTGCGATCTTTACCAGGCAAGAATTGCATTTTCCTAACATGGTAGCTGTTGCTTCTCAGCGCTATTCAAGCTTATTATAGTCTCACCTGAAGTGGAAACCTGCCAAGACTTAGAAGCATATGTCATTGTCCTCTGTTGGAAGCAAAACCACAGATTCTTCGTGGAGAAATTGTAATGTACACACATCCATCACTTTGCAATTTATTAGGACTTTTTGATATCTAACATCATTTGAAGTTTACAGCTATACTGTAAGATAAGTATTATTACTCAAAGAGAGAAAGTGGTGCTGAGGTTCAAAAAGAAGGAAGTAGCATACCAGCGTTACGTATCTGGTTAGTAGAAGAGTCAGAACTGAAAGGCTGTTTATTTGTTTGTTTGCTTTTTCTCTAAATTCCATGTTGTTGCCACTATTGGCCACACACAATTCAATGAACTTGGGGAGTCAGTCAATCCTCCCTTGAGTGCAGTAACTGCAGGTAGAAAGGAAAGGAGTGAAATTAACTCCAAATGGTTTGAATTTAATATATCTCATTCATCTCAAAGGGGAACAAGGCAGGATTTTAGGGCAGAGCAACAGAACCACATGGCTTACCCCACAAAATAAAACTAAGTTTAGCTGGCATGCCTCTGAAAAAGTTAGGTCTGATGCTTTAGAGAAGACCAACTCAGTTCACTTCATGGTCCAGTCAGGATTCAAGAAATTTTGGATGATGAACAAATGCATGAATGAATGCATATATGAATAATAGGAAATGCACATTTTTTCTTTTTTACCTTTAAGTGTTTTTGTTCCAAAGTAATGTATGCTCATTGCATTTAGTGAGGTAATGCAAAGATGTTCAAGAAACAAAAAGCTCCCTCAAGCCGGCCGAGCTTCCCAGTGTGGCGCTGAACCTTTCATCCCTTGCCTGATGTCAGACAAACCTGTGCAAAGCATACTCAGGTGTAGGTGGAGTCTGACATTGTTTTTAATAAAATAAGTGTGTTAGCCTCCAACTAATAAAAATAAATTAAAAAAAATTAAAAAAAAAGAAAGAAAAAGAAAAGTTTATTTAAAATAAGTGTGTATTTTACACATGGTTCTGCAACTTGCCTTTTTTTCTTTGAGAAATACTTTTACCCAAAATGAGTTTGCCTATAGAAATACACACTTTTTTCCCCTGAAAGTGTTTGTGTGTAAAAGTGATAGAGCTGGATCCTTTAATTTTGTTTCCTGCCTGTCTACTGAAGTCATTTGTCAGCCTTTAAAAAAACTGGGGGGACTTCCTGCTGCTTAACTTTCCTCTCTGGCGCCTGTGTGTGCTTTGGGCTTTTCATTCCTTTTCAATGATTAAGCATTTTCCATTTATTTTGCAATTTCAGGTTTGCTGAAGTAGCTTGTTACATCTTTAGCCAAGGAATGGAATGTTTAGATGCTGCAAATGTACATCTGTGGTTTAAATCAAATATAAACCTCTTCCTATGCTGAAACGCCTAATCTCTATGCTCTAAATTAAAATGAGGGCTGCCGCAAAGATAATCCTCAGGGTTCTTTAAAGATTGTGTAAATACAGGCACCTTTATTCACCAGAGCAATAATCTATTTGCTCTCATCCTATCGCTAATATTTGATAGGATTTTAATTTGAAAATGCCATTTATCTTACTAGGCCCCATAGTGAATTAAAATTTATTAAACCCCATTCATAATCCAGGCCCTTTGCTTGCTCATTTACTTATACTATCCTTTTAATCCTCTCCAAAACACAGAAAGAAGGACTGTTATCCCCATTTTAGAGATGCAGAAATTGAAGCTAAAAGAGGTTAGGGAACTTGCTTGAGGTCATACAGCTTTTAAGTAGGAAAACTGGGTGCCTTGCCAGCTTTAAAGTTCTGGCTAGGAAGAAACATGTTACCTTTCTCCTTATTTTAAAAATGAAAAGCAAATTGTGTAAAACTGTTTTCATCATAGAAATATGTGGCTCGAAAGAGACCTGAGATGCGGTCAAGAATCCACCTGCAATGCAGGAGACCAGGATTCAATTCCTGGATCAGGAAGATCCCCTGGAGAAGGGAATGGCAACCCACTCCAGTATTCTTGCCTGGAGAATTCCACAGACAGAGGAGCCTGGCAGGCTGCAGTTTATTGGGTCACAAAGACTTGGATACGACTGAGTGACTTACACATGCATACACACACACACACACACACACTCATAATACTCAATCTATCAATTCACATGGAACATTTTAGATGGTATGAGAGAAAGAGATTTCATTTTTTTCTACAGTGATATACCCTACCTCGTATGTTACTTCCTGCCTGCCTCCTCCTTTATTCTCTGGCAGGACAGTCACATAGCTTACATAAAATCTTGCGAATGGATGGTGCCTGCAAAACTTGTGAAATAAATTGTATCACTTCACACACACACACACACCCCACACCCTTCCCCACGTCCTCACCACGGCTGTGTGTTTTCACGGGTGCTCTGTGATAGAAGGCATTGCCACAGGTCTCAGAGGTAAATATTTTCTCAGAGGCGCATTCACTACCTTATTCATGAATATTCACTGACGACTTCCCACTAGACAGTGAGCACTGCGGTAGGGATGCAAAAAGAAATAAGAAACAACATCTCTAAGAACTATCAGATTGGGACGAAAATATATATGAGACCAGTGGATCCCCCAGTATCTATTCCCTGATCATGCAGACCCCCCTCTGTGAAGTTTTCCATAAAGCCTGTATTCATTTTTTATCATCCTGAGATTTTTGTCAAAATTCCCTTCCTTTGTGGTAATCAGTGGCAGTTACTTATCCTTACCTAGAAAAGGAAACGTTGGTGACTTGGTGTCAGTTCTCATTTTTTAAATGTAAAAGTTCTATAAAATCCCAAAGTGTGGGAACTACTAACAGAAACAAGCAAAATTAGATCAGTTCAATGAAGTGCCCTTGCATGGCCCTAGCAGAGTTCTCCAGCACCTGAGCTGGCACCTAGTTAATATTTATAAATGAGTTTTTTGAGTTGTCCGTGAATGCCACACAGGAACAGCCTGTGACATCAAATAAGGTTTTAAAGACAAGATAGCTTGTGTTTGAGTTTGAAAAAATGTGTAGACTCTCTTTGTTAGAGACGCAAAAGATGAGGAAGGGCATTCATGGTAGGGATAGTGCACACATACTCAAGGAAGAATGTAAAATAGAATAAAATGAATATATCTGTTATAGTTTGAATACAAGACTCTGAAGGAAAACTACCTACCTTTAAATTATCTTTATGGTTCTATCCTTTCATTGGCAACCTAGTCACAAGATTAGAAATATATAGAATAGTAAAAAGAAAAAGATTACTACTATGCACCATTAAGTGCTTTAATATACTTTATCACCCCTATGAAGTGAAGTGAAGTGAAGTCGCTCAGTCATGTCCGACTCTTTGCGACCCCGTGGACTGTAGCCCACCAGGTTCCTCCGTCCATGGGATTCTCCAGGCAAGAATACTGGAATGGGTTGCCATTTCAGTCTCCAGGGGATCTTCCTGACCCAGGGATCGAACCCGGGTCTCCCGCATTGCGGGCAGACACCAGCAGACGCTTTAACCTCTGAGCCACCAGGGAAGCCCAATCACCCCTATATTATGTATATGATATCCTATTCTTGATTTTTGCAGGTAACAAAAAATGAGTTTAAGTAATTTTCTCATGCCATACAGCGAACAAATAGCAGAATCAAACTTTGAGTTTGTGTCTGTGTTCAAAGTACTCATTCCCATGCCCCCACCCACTATCTCATACAGTTTCTTTCTATGAAAAAATGTTGAGTAAAGAGGATTATGCTTCTATTAGGAGAATGGTCCTACCACTTACCACCTAGATAACCCTGAACAAGTCTTTTAATGTCCTGAGTCTTGATTTTCTCATCTGTAAATTTGTTAACATTATTACACTCCTAAGGCACTATAGTGGCTTACATTTGTGGCCTACTTTTTATTTTCCTAAAATAGTAAATCAAGAGAATTAATCTTTAATGGTGTGACTTGAGCTGATAGGAAAAGAGTTCTGTGAAATGGGAACCTTCCAACTACCTATATAATTATATCAAATTGGCAGTCTTTTGTTCCAGATGTTCATAATATCTCTATCTATTGTGAGTATTTTCAATCTTGCTAATTTATATTCACTTTTGTTGGAGAAGTATAATAAGGCCTATAAAAAGAATTTTGATTAGAAGTATACTACAATGACTTACCTGGATTTTTTTTTAAACCTCTTTTACTGTTTCAAGATATGTGTACCTGAGTAAGCTGGGAAATTTTGTTTTTCCAATGACGTAGAGAAAGGAAGCCTAAACAAAAAGGCCTTGAATAAAATTCTCTTAGTAGAAACCCTGCTGAGTCCCTTATAAATCAAAATTATTGTTATGTAAATACTCTAGTCTTCGATTTTTGGGAAAAAAAGCTATTACAATGATGCTGAGATGGTTTCTTGGCTCATGAAATTATAGACTATCAGAATTGGAAGGGCCATAAATGAAGATAGAGTCTAATCTTTCTCCATTTGGTGGGCAAGAAACATGAAGTCTAGCACAATTTGTTGGCTATCCATAAGTCCCACAACTTGTAGGTTATAGAATCAAATTTAGAACCCTTATCTTTGAACACTCAGTTCAATGTCTTTCTGTTTCTCTAAGCTGATGTTCATTTTTTTATGATAGAGTAAGAAGGTAACAATTACAAAAAAAAATATAATCAATCAGTGATTACCTATGAGCAGTGCCAACTTTGTGCATTACCTATACCTATAGATTCCCCCTCTATTGAGCCAAGTCTTCTCTGTCACCCAGAAGAGATAACAATCACACACTGTCACCGTCTAGCCAAGTAATCTCAGGATATACAAACAAATCATTGATACTAAAATAAAACCAAAGACTTAGGGATACAAAGTAAAACTGCCCTTTCAAAATAAGGGGATTTAATCTCCCAAGT